CCGTGAACTGACGCTAATCAAACACTACACTCAAGGAAACCTGATCTGTAATTGACATATTAGCAACGAAACAAGCGTGAATCACACAATGAAGTGAAAGCCACTTATCTTTTATGCATACTGCCAAAGTACCCAGCCTGCACTGATAAACGCCACTTCTTACTCGCCTTCCACTGTGTTTTTATTGACGTCAGCAGGGTCAATTACAGGAACCAAGGCCAATTTTGTTATTTTAGACCTTCAATCAATTTCAGCAATGTAAATTGTACCTCTGCTACAAAAGACCTTTCCAGTGAAAGATGACATGTGGTAGCACTAACGACTCATCTGCTTACTACTGTATAGGCAAAGGACAGACAACCAAATTGGGAAGGGAAAGGAGAGTGACAGCATCCCCATTACAGTTGCAATACTGCTGTCTCTCCCAACAGCTTGTTGGATCTCGAGCTCGCAAAGGAAGGTATTTCCTAGTCCTATAGTGCAATGCTACCTACCAGAATTCAGATCCCATCCTCCCTGTCCCCCCAGCCCTTCTTGGTGAGCATGGGGTGCAGGGAGTAGCCAGGCAGGCTGGCAGGAGCAGGCAGAATAGCATCTGTCCGCGACGGGGGAACAGCCTACTGTCAGACAATCTCTGCCCTCAGCTGGCTGCTCCCATTCCCTCCAGCTACTGCTTCAGCATCATGAGCTCTGCTCCTTATTTGCTCTTTATCCATTTTTTGCACCTACTCACTTGTTTGCCTTGTCCTTTCCATTTAACATTCCTCTTGTAATTTCCTCCCTGCCCCTCCCCCCCTCCAAATATAGTTAAGACTACAATAGTTTCATCCCGTTCACTTTGTTTGCAAGTTAAACCCCTTCTATCACCTATGGCTGCTTAGATAAGGCATTTGGAGAAGGACTGCCGACTACTTCGTGCTTGCAGCGTCTCAGGCAGGATTCTACTTCTTCACCTGAGTGTAGACACCTTTATTATAAACACGCTCCTGAAACATTCAAAAAATTGTTACAACATATAGTTACATTTTACTGTGCAGCACAGTGTCGTAAAGACGTGGCACACATTTCATAGTTTTTGCTTAATGGCAGCGGATGAAAGCTCAGATACTTCATTAATTCTGTGAAATTCATAGTGCTCTTCCTAATCTACCACACAAATCCCTGCTTCTCCACCCAAAAGGCCCCACGGAATGACAATTCTTATGAACTGAAGTACATATCACAGTGATTTTGCGTTATCTAATCCTTTCCCCAGAGACCCCTTTGAGAGTAAGTCTCTTTGCGTTTGCTGCTTCGTTGCTTTTATTTTGTTAACTCTGACCACAAGTTGCAAACTTAATCCAGTGGGAAAACTATGAGCACTGAGTAAAGTGGAACAATCAGGGATATATAACCACTAAAGTTAGAAATAGGGAACTGAAGAGTAAGAACAGTATACCTGGCAGAGAGAGGAAAGATTAATAAGAAACCATGAACAGAACTCTGCATTATTTCTTTAACGCTTGAAAGACCTAGCTCATAGTCTGACTATTATGGGGAAAAAAAAAGGCTAAGGCAAGTATCAGTACAAGTCAGTCTTGTGACTGAATTTCCAAACTGCAGACTATCACGTTCTTTGCATATAGCAGGACTAAATCTTGCTCTGCAAAACAAGTTTTTTAAGTCTGTCTACTAACCAACATTACCAACTACTTGTATTTGAAGGAAGTGTCTGGTTACAAACAAAAAAAAAAAAGCAAAGAAAAAAAAGGAAGCTGTTTTTGAGTACCTGTTTGGAATTAGTTTTCTGCTTTCAGTGAAAAGGCAGCCTACCAAACCAGGTCTAATAGAGGCAAAAAATACTGTTTACTAGAACAGTTCTAACATTTTGCCTTAAAAGAAAGCTTTGTTTATTCTGTACCTGCAATGGATACCTATCCAGTTTAAATGCAACCTTCAAATTATACTTTGATGAGCAGTATCAGTTACAGAAGTCTCATTCACAAGTTCAATTGGAAAAGCTTATGAAAACTACACAGACCATCACGTTAGATAATAAACAGGGTTTTAAAGATACATGATGTTGCTGAACTAAAAAAAGGGCATTGTTCTGTTTGTAATTTCTAGCTTAGTTTCCTGTTAGGATATTATCATCTCATTACTATTTGCACAACCAGCATTTAAGATGACCCTGAGGGAAAACAAAAGCTATTCACAACATGCTAGCAAATCAACTAAGAAGCTAGAAAATGGCTGGGGAGAACCCGTCATAAGAAAAGACAACCAGTTTTGTCACAGGTTTCTCCTAACTCTTCAAAATCCTCATACGCAGTGTTCAAATTGTTGGACAAATAATTTCACATAAACCAAATACTTCCTTTTCAGACAAAATAAAGCTACATTAAAATGCAGTATGACACGTTAGTATGTTAGGGTTCTATTCTGCAATAAACATACAGAATCTATCAACTATAGAAGTCACAATTAGAGGCCTTTTCACAAAAATGTGAAAGGAGACACCACTGTAGACTGCTCGTTCCTGTTAACGTCAGCCCATACAGCTGTACCAGTACTGTACTGTAAAGTGGTGTGCCACCTCACCACTTTATCACTTTCATGGCAAAAATGAAAGTCCTCCCAAGACATTTATTCCCGGGGGGAGGGGGAGGGAAGGAGAAAGAAAAAGAAACTGCAATTGATTGCTTTGGGTGGAGTACTGACATAACAGCCGGGCACAGGTGCCATTTCAACTACATCGCTTAGCACAGGCAGCCCACTGCCACCTTTGTCCTGTGCCAGGGCTGTGTCCCGTGGGCAGGGACGGATACAGCACCCGCACTTGAACTATCACACCTGGAGCACGGCTCTAGAGCTGCCGACTGGCTGCTTCTGCCACATGGAGCAGGGTCCGGCTGCGGTCGGTCCCAGGACTGGCAGAGGAGACCGTAGTGACATTAGGTCAGTGGAAGCAGAAGTTAGCACAGCTCCCACGCAGTACCACAGGCTGCTTGCACGTTTGTGTAACTAACAGAGCATTGCTAAGGGACAGAGACTTAGCAACAGAATCTTGGAGGTAAAGATTTGGCTTTTAGATGTATATTTAATCTTCGGCATAGAAACATTTCAACCTTTGTAGGTTAGGGCATAAAGGAAGAGACTGAAGAAAAAGAGAATAGTATTTAAATAGTATGCCTGTGTGTTTTGAGGGAGTGACAGAATGATTGACCACAAAGAACACGAATACTTAAACCTGGGATTTTCCCCACCTATTTAATACAAAAGTACTTCTGGCTACCTATTGTAACACACAAAACTCACAACCTGCTATTTGGAAAATGCAGTGCCATATTCATTCATTAGCTAGCAGACTCCAACACGCAACCTACACTAAAGCAAAAGCAGATGTCATGTCACAAGCTGGTGACCCCAGCGAGGCTGGTCCAGAAGTGTGGAATTCCAAATTCCTCACAGACTGAAGTGTGGCACGCTGGCTAAATACATCAGGGAAGGATGTGGCTGTTAATCCCCCACACGACCAACCCTTCCAGCTGAAGGCAGCAGAAGCTTGTGTGTGACTAACGGGGAGATAAAGCTGCGAGGTGCCGTGCAGCAGGGCTGATACCACGGTCAGGGCACGGCTCCAAGCAGCTATTTACATCCCAGATAGCAGAAGCCGAGCACATCCCTGAGCACGCATGCAGTCCAGCCCTAACAGTTCTATCACTGTAAATTAACAGCGAGCATTAATAAACTGCAGTCGCCTCTCAGGCAGTTCGGGTGACTCCTCCAGGCCAGGAGCACGGAGACACCACCTTCCAGCCCCGCCGCCGGAGAGCTGGTACAAACCCTGCTGGGACCCCAGCGAGCTCCACACCCCGGCCCTACCAACCGCTGCTGGAATAGCCGCAGCGGCGAGGGGC